GGGTTAGGAGTGCGAGAATATGGGAGAGAAAATAATAATGATAAAAACGTGGTTGCAAGAAATAAAACAAATTACAAGAATCGAAGCAAGGAACAAAATTAGCCCCAAATACGCAAAATAAAAAAAAGTTAAAAAGGATTACAAAAAGTAAAAAGAACAAAAAAAATCTTACTCTTACCCCCCCTTCTCTTTCTCTTTCTCTCTCTGTCTCTGTCTCTTTCGTTCACTCTTCTCTTCTCTTTCTTGTCATTGAGTCATTGTGTGAATCTCTCACAACTAATTATTTGTTACTAATTCCTGAAATACAAGTACACGCATGCTATATCTTTTCATTTAACTTGGTGGTGGTGGGGGTGGGGGGGGGGTGGGGTGGGGGTGGAACGCTGTGTTGTCTAATTTTAGTAACCTCGTATATCTTCACAAATTGCGTAATATAGTTTTGTAATAAGAACCTTTAGTTAATATCACAGTAATACTCTCCAACGTTTCACTGTATAGTCTTTATTTGTTATAACTACAGCTGCGATTTCAGTGAGCATATTTTTCGCTAAATCATGTGATTTTAAAAAGTCATTAAAGATAGCCTAAAAAGTCTTTAAAGATTGTGAAACTATTGGAAATGGCAAAGTTTGTTAATATTCTACTTTTTTAATGAAACATTCATATGAATAATTGCCCATAATGATTATTTTACCGAATTGGAAGAAAAGTGGAAAAAAGAAGAAATGTAAAGGAGTTCATGAGGTCATTTTATAGGAATCACATTTCCATTCTCATGTTACTGAAACGGTCAGTGTCAGATCATAATGCATTGAAATCACTGAGAAAATCCAAATCTCTCTCTCTATATATATATTTTGCATATCAATTTCAGATATTTCGTGTATCTAAATAGTGGCTGATTTGTTGTTTTCACAGAAAACTGATTACTTATCAACATTCGAAGTAATTAATACATTCATCAACCTTGATATCTAATACACATTTAAAAGTTTAGAATATATATATAATACATAATATATATATATATATATATATATATATATATATATATATATATGTATATGTATGTATGTATGTATGTATGTATGTATATACAGATATAAATATACGTTTTGTTTTTCTCTCTCTCTAGAAAAGATATTTTTTGAAATTGCTAACTTAAAGAATTATGTAAACGATAAAGAACAAAGAATGGAATATGTATATAAATAGATAGGACATACAATAAAAAGGGATAAAAAGGGAAATGATATCCAGCAATAACAATTGTAAAATATATTGTATAATTCGTATAGGTAATACAAAAAAGTGATGATTAAACGCATGAGATATTTTCATAAGCAATAAGTTCCCAGCTTTTTCTATCCTGTGGCCCCGACCAGTATATAATTGGCTTTCGTCTTTTTCATTCATTTGTTATGTTACGTTTATCACAAACTACTATATTACAAATTACTATATCAATTGACATTGCTAACAGAAACATTTAATGAGAAAATATCATGAAAGTCTAGGAAAAGGGTAAACACGTGACAGGTAGTTCTCGTAATTGGCTCATTGGTGACATAGTAGTACTTCAGAAGCCATCATGTAAAAGCAATTACTAAATTGAACCCACTGGGAATGGCACGTACGTACATGCCATATATATGTGTCTCCTTTTTCTTTCTTCTTTCTCTCTCTGTCTCTCTTTCGTTCACTCTTTTCTCTTCTCTTTCTCGTCATTGAGTCATTGTGTGAATCTCTCACAACTAATTCTATTTGTTACTAATTCCTGAAATACAAGTACACGCATGCTATATTTTTTCATTTAACTGGGTTGGTGGGGTGGGGTGGGGGGGTGAGGGGGTGGAATGCTGTTGTCTAATTTTAGTAACCTCGTATATCTTCACAAATTGCGTAATGTAGTTTTGTAATAAAAAACCTTTTAGTTAATATCACAGTAATACTCTCCAACGTTTCACTGTATAGTCTTTATTTTGTTATAACTACAGCTGCGATTTCACTGAGCACATTTTTCGCTAAATCATGTGATTTTGTCATTAAGATAGCCTAAAAAAGTCTTTAAAGATTGTGAAACTATTGGAAATGCAATTGTTATTAATACTTCTTCTACTTTTTAATGAAACATATTCATATGAATAATTGCCCCCATAATGATTATTTTACCGAATTGGAAGAAAAGTGGATATACACAAAAAAGAAGAAATGTAAAGGAGTTATGAGGTATCATTTTATTTCCCATTCTCATGTTACTGAAACGGTCAGTGTTAGAATATATAATATATATATATATAATAATATATATATATATATATATATGTATATATATATACATATATACATACATATAATACATAATATATATATATATATATATATATATATATATATATATATATATATATATATATATATATATATATAATATAGTATTAGATATAAATATGTTTTTTCTCTCTCTAGAAAAGATCTTCTTGAAATCACTGAATAACTCTAAAGAATTAT